GTACTGGAGTGGATGCAGGAGAATGGGCTGAGGCTGAACCCGGACAAGACGGAGGTCTTGAGGGTGGGTGCCCCCACTGTCGGCGGCTTGGGCAACTCCCTCTCATTTGGGGGGGTGACTCTTGCCACAAAGAGTGGGGTTCGCAATCTGGGGATCCATCTGGACCCAGCGCTCTCCATGGAGACTCAGGTGGCGTCCCTGGTCCGCACCGCCTTTTATCCCTTGCTGGGTATTTTTAAGAAACAACTGAAAACATGGATGTTCAGGCAGGCCTTCCCCCTTTCCACCTAATACCTAATTATTCTTTTTTTTCCTGTTATAATATATCCTGTTTCTCGCCATCTTTGGGAAAAAGTTGTATTCTATATTTTAATTTATGTAAACTATTTTTGTGATGTGGTATGTTATATGTTTAATTTTTTTTTAAGTGTATGTTGTAAGCCGCCTAGAGTGGTCACAATTGACTAGATAGGCGGGATATAAATGAAATAAATAAATAAATAAATACTTCAAAGACTATTTTTCTGATAACTACCTGTTGCACCATTGTGGTTGACAGCATCCAGAAAAGATATCTCAAAGGTGGCACATAGATCACACAACCCTTTGGGATTTTCACATATACAACCCAATCTTTATTACTTTTAAGACATAATTTCAAAACTAGATTACAGTTAATTTTAAAATGAAATTACATTTTAAAACAAACCATTCATGTAAAAAATAAAAAAGAAAATTATATATTTCATGCAAACTGCAAGAATTTAAACTGTCATATCTGGAGCTATAGTTCCTGTTTGGCTTCAACAGATCTTGCCATTGAATGGAAAAGGTCAATATGAAAAAGCTTGCCTGGAAATGAAAATTGATTCAGCAACATCAAACGAAGCTCCAAATGCATGCACAGCTCTGTCCTTGCTTTTGCTGATTCTTCCTGATGGCTCTAGTCAATATGTAAACAAATGTTATATTTACCTTATGCTTTTCCATAAGTGCTACCATTTCAGTGATTTTGTGCTGACATCGGATGTCTATTTCCTTCTGCATTTTCACTGCTTCATCAGCTACCAATTTCATTGCTTCTAGCTATTAATAACACAACATATATGAATATATGAATGACGGAAATATTTTAAAGTTAATGATTTAATTGCTATTCAAGATTTACATGTAGAACTATATATGAGTCATTTCACAATACAGTGGTGCCTCGCTTTACGATCGCTCTGTTTAACGACGAAACCACATTATGACTAACTTTTTGCAATCGCTTTGGCCATCTCATGAGAAGAGAGGACTCCCTGGAAAAAAACCTGATGTTGGGAAAGTGTGAAGGCAAGAGGAGAAGGGGACGACAGAGGATGAGATGGTTGGACAGTGTCACCGAAGCTACCAACATGAATTTGACCCAACTCCGGGAGGCAGTGGAAGACAGGGGTCCTGGCATGCTCTGTCCACGGGGTCACAAAGAGTCGTACATGACTTAATGACTAAACAACAACAAATATGTTATTTAGCTGAGATGTGCTGAAAAAAGGAGCTAAGTGAAAGTACAGCAAAAACATATATTAGGATCTTAAGGACATCTATGGCAGATTTAGTTGCTTAATTATTGTGAGTCATATTTTAAAAGTTACTATTTATGCTGGATAACAACTGTTATCCAGCATTAACTTTAATATATTGTCACTTAGGGGTATACTCACTTTTGTTGACAGCAGTTTAGACATTCATGGCTGTGTATTGTGTTATTTTGAGGTGACTGTACATTTACACTGTTATACAAGCAGTATACTTGCTGTTTTACATTGTACCCAAGTATAATTTCTTCAATGTTGTCACATGAAAAGATATACTAAAATATTTATGAAATGTGAGGGGGCGTACTCACTTCTGTGATATACTGTACATATTCCTTTCTTTTTATCAATGTGGGAACAAACGACAGCCAAGAAGAGCTACCAAGAAATCACATCTGACTTTGAAGCTCTGGGAAGGAAACTCAAGGACTCTGGGGCCCAGATATTTTCATACATGCTACTGATGCTTCATGAGAAGAGAAGAATCCCTGGAAAAGACCCTACTGTTGGGAAAGTGTGGGGGCAAGAGGAGAAGGGGACAACAGAGGACGAGATGGTTGGACAGTGTCACTTAAGCTACCAACATGAATTTGATCAAACTCTGGGAGGCAGTGGAAGACAGGAGGGCCTGGCGTGCTCTGGTCATGAAGCATCAGACACAACTTAAGGACTAAACAACAACAACAACCGATGCTTGAAAGAGGAATTGGAAGAGAAAGGAAGATCCTCTAGGTGAATGAGTGGCTATGAAGGTGGTGTTGACCAGAGGGAGTTGTTTTTCGAGACCATGGGCTAAGTTTCCTGGAAGAAGGACTGCTACCAAGTGACGGCTTGCATCTAACAAGGACTGGGAAAATGTGTTTGCCCACAGCATGAAGAACTTCATCAGGAGGGCTTTAAACTGAATTGGAAGCGGGAGGGAGACGCAAGCACAGAGTTAATGGGAGATGAAGCCTTACATATAATAAGAAAAATGGACCAAACTCATCAAAAGGGCAACAATAATAACATGAACAATAATAATCGCAATAATAATTATAACAAGAATCACCATAATAATCATAATAATATTCATAAAATGTACAGACAAACAGGCCACAAATCACACAACCTCCGGTGTCTGTATACGAATGCCAGGAGTATGGGAAACAAACAAGAAGAACTGGAAATTTTCATTCAGGAGGGTACTGTAACTATGACTTGACAGAAATACTGTAACTGAAACTTGGTGGGATGACTCCCATGACTGGAATACAGCAATTGAGGGATAAAACCTGATCAAAAAGAACAGAGAGAATAAAAAGGGAGGTGGAGTGGCAGTATATATCAAAAATACGCATTCTTTCAGAGAAATACAGGAGGAGGATTACACTAACAGATGATGGTATCACACTTGATGGGACCCATACACTAAGCTAAACTATATTATAATTTTTTAGCACGAGGAAGGATAGGAAGAACTATATACAAATGGTAGACAAAGAGGATGATGAGATGGTAAGTAACAGAAGAAAAACATGTCTAAAATCCTCAATAGGTGTTAACTTTTCAATGGAAAGAAAGAAATTGAGGAGTGTTCCTGAGGTGGGGAGCATGCATGGTGGTCAGAGTCCATGTCCAAAAACTTCCTTTCAGGCTCTAGAAGGTTTGTGCAGGTGCAGAATGAAGCCACGTGTGTGATTTCACAGACATGAAGAAATAACAACTAACAACTATAAAACGGAACTCATAAATAAGGAAGTGAAGAAGAGCTACTAGGAATGAAGTGAATTGAACAGAAATGGAAAGGTTCTAGAATGCTCTTGCTTTGATGGCAGGCAAAAAAGAAACCAAAGGGAATGGGAAACAGTTCAACATATCCATTACAGGGGAATGTGGCTCTTCCAAAACTCTAGCTTCAGTGTGAAAAAGTACTAGATTGTTCTGCACCGGAACAAAATAACTTTATTAATATGCAGAAGGACGAAAATACACCACCAGGTTGCATTAACCCCCTCCCCCAAAAAAACACATTGGAAAGCAAGTTTTTTCAACCCCTCTTTCACTCTGTTGACACTAGTTTCAGCATGGTGTCATGTGGACACCAGGCTGCAACATGGGTGCAAAAAAAGTTGAATTAATGCTCAGCGTGGATAGGTCTAGAAAGGACAGAATATGATGTGACATAATTTCAACTCTTACCTCTTTCAGAAGATTTTCTTCAGCTGCCCTAGCCATCTCAGTTTCCTTTTTGTAGTTATCAACTGTTTCATTATGTAATTTGTTTATATTTTCCAACTCTAATTGTAAATTGTTTACCTTTAAACAATAAAATATTTGTTTTAGTATTTTTCTGACAGTCATCTCAAATCTTTCTCATTTAACCTCTCTTGTTTCTCCACTATCTGTGTAACATGCCCACCCACCCACTTCTTTTTAAAGTTTTTCCTTTAAGTAATCTAAAACAAAAGTGAGCCATTCTCAAATGTGGCTGCAAAGCAGGCACAAATCCAGTAAAGTATTCAAAAATGTAACTCACTCTGCTTTCCTATCACTAGATGTAAAATAAAATAAACTTTTAAAAAATTAAAAAAATTGGCTCATTTGACTCTTTTGCTGTACCAAAAGCGTATACTAATTTTAGTGAATTAGGGCTCAACATCTGGTGGTTAGCACCTATATATAAGCAGATATATTGGCACATTTATATAAAATTGCTTCAGTAAGATTATTCAAAACACAATACTTTGGGATAAGTGGGGTGGGGAGAAGCTGAAGCCTCCATACACATTATTCCCCTTCCCCCAGAACTGTTGCAGGATTTTCTTCCAGAAGGCCTCTGGTATCAGAGGAAATGTCTGCTGCAATAAAAGTTGATTTTGAAGTTTTATTGCAGACTTGGATAGGAAAGAGTAGGTAGGGTCAAAGCCACAACTTCAACTGGACTCACCTTGGCTTGTTTCATTATATGCTTGATGCACTTTGAGAAACACCATATAATTCTAATTCTCCAACTTTTCTATCTCTGATCCCCACAATAATTATTTAAATAACACAAAGATCAAAGTTATTCCTACCTTTCCTTCAGTAATACTGGTTTGCTTGCTTTCTGCTGCAATTTTCTTTCGCAACACTTTATTCTGTTAACAACAGTAAATATTATTTAAGTTTATTATACATTTTAAAAAACCATCTGAGATAGCCGTGTGGTCCCTTAAAAATCGGAAAGTAGAAGAGGAGATACCTTTATTTAGATCATTAAAAATTAAACATTAAGTGCAAGCTTTTATTCATGAAAACATCCACTGAATGGTTGTTGTGGGTTTTTCGGGCGTCTTGGCCACTTTCAGAACATGGCCAAGATGCCCGAAAAACCCACAACAACCATTAGATCCCGGCCATGAAAGCCTTCGCGAATACATCCACTGAATGTTTGATTTTAAGTACTTTAAATAAATATATCACCTCTTCCATTTTGTACCAGAACACTGGTCACATATGCTGAATGTTCAACTGTGGTTTAGCATGAAGAAGTAATCTACTATGGTATAACTCCCACTTCCATCTAGAAAAGGCAAGACTCACATGACCAGGATCTTTCCCCTTGTTATTGGTGTGACATTATTTAGGACCCTTTCTAGTTTATTACTTGACTTTAAGTAATGAAGTTGGGGGGGAGAAAGAGATGTGATCCACAGTAGATGCCGTCTCACGAGAGATGGGCACAAACTGCCAAAATGGTGGTTTGTCTTGGTTTGTCAAGGCTGACAAACCATGAATTTCCAGCTAGTTTACTGATGAACCAGAAAGCTGGTTCATTGGGGCTTTTTGTTAGACAAAAAGAATTGTGTCCCACCATACAGTCTGACCCCCACCCCTTCCCACTGCCATGTCACCTCCCTACACTGTCCTCCTCTGCTGTCGCCACTGCTTCAGCTTCCACCGCCACTGCTGCCTCCATCTTTGCAAACAGTGGCCAGCTTCCCTTCTGGCAGCCTAGCCTGCCCTGTCTGCCTATGGCCCACCAATCAGCTGATTGGCAGACACATAGGCAGACAGGGCAAGCTAGGCTGCCAGAAGGGAAGCTGGCTGCTGTTCGCAAAGATAGTGGAGGTGATGGAGGCAAAGGAGGACGAGGACAAGGTAGGGAGGCAACTAGGGCAGTAGGAAGGGGGTGGGAGAATTAGGAAGGCGTGGGTGAGTGGGAAGGGGTGGAGAGGCTGTGGAGGGGCAATGAACCAGGAAGTTCATAAATCACCCCAGAATTTGTTCATCCAGGAACTTTCACGTTCTCCATTTGGATGAACGCAAACTAATCCGAAGCAACGAATAGGCGGTTTTCCATGAACATCATGGTTGTTTTGGGGTTCATGCCCATCTCTACTTCTCACACAAAAGTGTGACACTTTTGATGTTACTACTGTATATCCTCCTGTTTATTTATAATGTACACTTAGCTGATTAAATAATAATAATCTAGGAACATTTTTTTAATTTTTTAACATTTATTCCTTTAAACTTTAATGGGACATTTACATTAGATTTGCTTTGAATCAGAACAGGCATTGGCTACACAACAGCTTTACATGTCATAGATGAACTATTTATTTCTTAGAGCAGAACTCATAACATTTCTTACTTCTTGCTGCAGGTCTTCAACAATCTTGGATTTTGTTTCAATCTGTTTCTTTAAACTATTGATCTAAAAAGTGTTGAAATATATTTCAAAAATATATATATACAGTAATGGTATTAATTACAGTTGTAATGATTTCAGTAGGACAGTTGATTTTAAGAAGCGGTTCTTACATAGATTTTTCCCTGTTGTTGCTGTGTTATGCCATCGAATCACAACCAATTTACAGAGATCCTAACAGGGCTTTCAAGGTAAGTGGGGTATTTAAGTAGTGTTTTTATCAGCTCCATTCCCCCAGTGAGTTTCCATGGCTGCGGGTGGAGGTTTGAACCCTGGTCTCCAGAGTACTAGTGTAACACTGTATCCATTACACCACATTGGGTATCTCTATACAGTATTTTATCTAGACTTGATAAGTCTCAAATTCTGCACACAGAGCCCATCCACACATCCTATTTGCTCTTGTTTAAGGTGTATGGGGGGGCTATGTTGCCCACTTATTCAGATTACTTGAACAGATACATGTGACATTACTGGCCTCTCTAATCAATCCCTCCCTTTCCCTTTCATTTGAGTTGTATTTTACTTCACTTGGTGTAGCGTTCACCTTTGTGGCACCTGTCTGTTTTACCCTCACAAAGGCTCACGTCACGTTTGCCTCTCGCTGCCACCAGTGGATTACCTCTATTCACAATATAAATTATGTTTGTCAGAACACTTGTCTTGTGAATACAAACAGAATTTATTTACTGAAGTGAAGCAGATTTAATAATAACAGTTCTTCAGATAAACATTGTACACAAGCAAATCATTAACAGTTCTCTTAGTACATACTGTACTTTTCTCTTGCAATTTCATTACCACCTTCTCTACCTATTTTCTTTACCAGCCTTATCACTCAGTATCTGTTCCCTCTCTCTCTGACTAAGCAGCCCTTATCTCTATCTGGATCTCATCCCAATCTCTATCTGGATTTCTATCTTATCCCAATCTCTATCTGACCCCTCCTTCTCCTGCCAAATCTTCATATAGCTGCTGACTCCGCCTCTCCAGTCCTCTCATAGGCTCATGCAAATCAGTTCATGACTATGAATGGCCTGAGTGATGTGGGGCGATCATCACACCTGGGAACTGGATTTTTTAAAATTAAGCTGAGTTTTTTCAGATCTGTTACCTCATCTGTCCCTTCTTCCCACAAAACATTGGTATTGTGGGGTTGTTTACAAGCAGAACCCCACACACACACACACATATCAGCTGTCATGTCATGTGTGGAGATGTTCTCAGCACAGAGCACAGCTGCCTCTGCCTGACTTTGTAAAGGTGAAGAGAGGGAGGAATGGAGTTTGCCTCCACAACCCAGCTGCCTCTTATCTTCTGCTTCCTGACTGACATAATGCTGTTTTACAAAAAAGGAGGAGGAAGAGAGAGCTAATGATTCTAAGCTTTCCTTGAAACTGCAGACTTTTTTCCTTGTTATGAAGAAATCAACAGCCCTTCTTCACAAAAAGGAAATGCTCACTACCAAATCAGACTGCATCAAGAAAGGGAAACAAACAAGGGGTGAAGATAAGGAGTGAATGGGGAGAGGGACAAAGAAAGAAGAATGGAAAAGATTTTTGTCCATGTACAAACTCTGGGTATGACTACATTGGAGAGATGAATCAGTGTGATTCAGCTTTGCTGTGATTTGATTTGCAGCCTATATAACATATGATATCACAATCAGTGCTCACACAGGGGATGCGGATTGATTCGTGAGTTCACCATTTATACTCATTTTGATATGAGTAGCATTCCAGCCCACAGCCCCCTTCCTCCCTTCCTTACTCTAGTCCTGCCTCTGCCCACCTTTCTTCCATTGGTCCTGCCTCTGCAATCCTTATATGGTTTTCTGTGAGAAAACTAGAGCCAGGAAAGTGAGGGGAAATGGTGATAATCCTGTTATTGACCTCTTCTGATGTGCAAATTACTAGAGGGGGATATCGATGTGGAGTGTGTGTGTGTGTGCATGCAAATTTCAAAGAATATTAGAAAAAATGTCCCACTAAGGGAAAACATTTGGGGCTTTGAAATGAACATGTACACACACACAAAACACACTGGGACTCTCCCCCCGCCCCAAGATCTTCCTCCATATTCATAGGCTCAGTGTCTTGGATATCTCTGTGTTCTTTCCATCTGAACCTCTGCCAAAGATACAAAGCAGTTAGAAAGGAGGGGGCTGTTTTCCAAGTATTTACATCACCATGTCCCCATCTTTACAAGAACATCCACATGGGAAAGAGCCCCACTGAATCCTTTCAGCTCAATAAATAGAACTCCCCTAGAGACAGAGAAGAAGCACCGCTTTGGGAGCAAAAAGGGCTGGAAAGAGTCAAATCAGCCTTCGCATCATGCATACAGTAAATTATATTTTGCATTCACCCATTTTATAAGTGGAGTAAATCCCATGGTATTTGACCATGTAGTCACTGTCACAGTTTGGATAACACTGAAGAAAAACTGACTACAGTATGGAATCTTGCAGTGAATAAATCCAGATCAATACAGGAAGAGACCACAATTCGAACTCGCATTCAATGCAAACAACAGTCTGTCTTGATGGGACCATAATCATCTCATTAAAAATCCATGGCAGGATTGTAATTAGAGCAGTTTCACCAAGTTTCACTCCAGTAGAATTTAAATTTGTGCACAAATTTTTTTTTCATGAAACATGAAGTCTGTAATAGTCTTCTTATTCATGAGAGATCATTTTGCATTCATGATTCTAAGTACTGTACACAATTTGACAATAGTTCTAATGGCATAATATTAACAATGTATTTGCTTTTACAGTATGAAGACTGTATCGCGGAATGAAACAATGTAGGAAAACACTACTGTACTTTTAAAATGCATTTTACGCCATTGTTCATACCTTGTTTTCTAATGTTTTCAGCTGCTTTTCCTTTTTTGAGATTTCATTTTCAATGTTTCTAACCTGAAAATACATTGCAGAATCTATTACTTTTTTAAAAATCAACATTATTTTTATTTAAGCTGCTTTATCTTACTGTGTTATACAGTCACCAAGAAGCCTTCATCTTGCTTTCAGTATGAACATTCACAGAATATGATATTGCCATTTAAGATGCATAACTAGCTTTCATGAACTTAGTTAATTTATGACCCAGCAGTAAGAGTCTCAGTGCATGAAAAATTTAAATTAATTTAGTTGTCATGATTACTTGCCATACAAACACAATGATATAGTTATATAGTAAAGGTTGTAGTAACTAATCCAACATTCTCCACATTTTTACAACACTTAGTTCCTAAAGTTCTGGATAGGAGGAATAAGTAGAATAATCATATTTCTTCCTTGCTAAACTCTTGGAAGATTTCAACTTTTAACAGCTTCCCCAGGAGACACCTTGGCATACAAACAGATGACTGTCCAATGTGGCACCAGAATGACTTCTAAAAGTGAGGATTATTGTGCAGATATTATCCTGCATTATAGTCTGGGCAGAGTTTCAAGGTGTATCTACTTATCTGGCCAATAGAATGGGTTTGTTGTTGCTGCTAACCACATTATCTTCTCACTTTTTCTTTGATGCAGGCTTGTAATAAGATTGTTTCTGAAACAGGCCCAGATAAACTTTTTTACCTAGTAATTATTCAGCGACTGTGGAATGCTAAAGAGTCTCAGTTTGGAGCTTAATTGATCTTATTTATTAAAATACAGGCAGAATGTTTGTCCTATACTGAAAGTGCATCCTGGCATCAAGCTGTTCCTATTACTGCATGGGTGAAACACAATGAATGTACATGTCCATCCATCAGCCAGAATTGGACTCATATAGATGATTTCTATTTCACTGGAAAGACTATAATGAAACCAATAAACAAGACTGGAGATTGTCAGAACCCTCAGTAATACCACTACAAATCATAAATAAACTGTCACATCTGTCAGAGGGATTTGAACTATTATTTGACTTCCAATTGCAGCATAAAATTAATTCCCCTTGCAACCAGTCCCTTTACCCTATGGAGTTCCATCTTTCTCCGCAGCCTTAAAATAACAGGAATAAAGCCTATCATGATTTTTAGAAGGATAAACTTATTTTAGCACTTTTCTGAAGGTTTGTAATTTCCTCCAGAAGAATTCTTGAAAAGGGAGTTCAGCAGAAAATTCTGACTAGTGGGAGGGAGTCAAACTCCATAATATACACTTGGGCTATGACTGTAAGTGCCTAGGAGTTGGCGGTAATTGTGTGTCAGATTTTGAGGTAAGAGGTTAATGGACTGGTTGCAGAGATTCCTCATAAGATTATGTGGTGCCTTGTAAAAGATGGTTTGAGAATACCATGTTAAAAAGTAAAAATGGAACTGATGTTTAGGACTACATGATCCCTTCTTTGATAACAAAAAAAAAGTGATGTTTGCTTTGACATTGGCTAAAATTCTGTTGCTTAGTATAGTAAATCACACTAGAGTAGGCTCATAGATTCAAGAGGGATTTGGTAGGTCAACCCTTCCATTAGTTTCATTGATTCAAATGGGCCTAATCAAACTGCAACTTACTTTATCATAAAATCATAGAATCATGAAGTTGGAAGGGGCCTATAAGGCCATTGAGTCTAACCCCCGTTCAATGCAGGAATACTCATCAAAGGATATCTGCCAGGTGGTTGTCTACATTTCTCTTGAATGTCTCCAGGGTTGGAGCACTTAACACCTCTTGAGATAATTGGTTCCACTGTTGTACTGCTCTAACAGTTAGGAAGTTTTTCCTGATATTCAACTGAAATCTGGCTTCCTTTAACTTCAGTCCATTGTTGCATGTACTGCACTCTGGGATGATCGAGAACAGATCTTGCCCCCCCCCCTCTGTATGACAGCCTTTCAAATATTTGAAAAATGCTATCATATCACCCCTCAGCCTTTTTTTCTCAAGGCTAAACATGCCCAATTCTTTCATCCTTTCCTCGTAAGGTTTGGTTTCCAGCCCCTCATCATCCTTGTTGCCCTCCTCTGCATTTGTGTACTGCACTCTGGGATGATCGAGAACAGATCTTGCCCCCCCCCCTCTGTATGACAGCCTTTCAAATATTTGAAAAATGCTATCATATCACCCCTCAGCCTTTTTTTCTCAAGGCTAAACATGCCCAATTCTTTCATCCTTTCCTCGTAAGGTTTGGTTTCCAGCCCCTCATCATCCTTGTTGCCCTCCTCTGCATTTGTTCCAATTTGTTAGCATCCTTCTTGAAGTGTTGTGTCCAGAACTGGACACAATAGAGTGGTGCCTTGACTTACGAATGTCCTGACTTACAACCATTTCGAGTTGCAAACATCTGCGGCCACAAAATTTTCCTTTGACTTGCAGCCAGAGCTTCGAGTTGCAAACAAAAGAGGCAGGGAAAAAAGGCAGGGAATTCAAATTAGAGGGCTAACCATTGGTTGGGGAAGAGCTTCTTTGTAGCTCTTTCACCCCAACGGTTAGAGTGCGTCATCGGAGGAGGCTTTTCTTCTGGGACTGGCTGGGTGGGGGTTGATTTTGGTTTGCTTTGGAGCGTTTGTTTTTCAGCCCCAGCTCATTCCTATGGGGCTTGCAGTGTTTTATTTTTTTTTTATTTTTGGGGTTTTTTTTCCTGCTGGAAAGGATTAATGGGGTTTCAATGTATTCCTATGGGAAATGGTGTTTCGACGTATGATCATTTCGAGTTATGCTCATCTTCTGGAATGGATTATGGTCATTAAGTCGAGGCACCACTGTACTCGAGGTGAGGCCTAACCAGTGCTGAATAGAGGGGGACTAGCACCTCACGGAATTTGGGAACTATACTTCTATCAATGCAGCCTAAAATAGCATCTGCCTTTTTTGTAGCCACATCATACTGTTGGCTCATATTTAGCTTGTGATCTATGACAATTCTAAGTTCCTTCTCGCTCGTAGTTTTGCTGAGCCAGGTATCCCCCATCTTGTAACTGTGGAATTGGTTTCTTTTTCTGAGGTGCAATACTTTGCACTTGTCCCTGTGGAATTTCATTCTGTTGCTTTCAACCCAGTGCTCCATCCTATCAAGGTTATTTTGATTTTTGTTTCTGTCAACAATCTAGTGTATTAGCTATTCCACCCAATTTGAGATCATCTGCAAATTTGACAAGCATTCCCTGCACTCCCTCATCCAAATCATTAATAAAAATATTGAAGAGCACCGGGCCGAGGACTGAGCCTTGGGGTACGCCACTTGTGACCTCCTCCCAGTTAGAGAAGGACCTATTAATCATCACCCTCTGAGTACGATTCTGTAGCCAATTGTGTATTCACCCGACACTTGATCTATCCAGCCCATACCTAGTTAGCTTCCTAATCAGGATATCATGTGGCGCTTTGTCAAAAGTCTTGCTGAAGTCAAGATATACAATGTCTACAGCTCTCCCTCTGTTTATCAGGGAGGTTACCTAATCAAAAAATGAAATCAGATCAGTCTGGCAGGATTTGTTATTGACAAATCTGTGTTGGCTTCAAGTTATTACTGTATTATTTTCTAGGTGATTGCATAGTGACTGCTTTATAATCTGTTCCAGAATTTTGCCTGGGATTGATGTCAGGCTGACTGGTCTGTAGTTCCCAGGTTCCTTCTTTTCGCCTTTTTTTTTTTTTTTTTGAAGATAGGGACAACAATAGCCCTCCTCCAATCATCTGAAAACTCATCAATTTCCCACTATTTCAAGAAAATAATGGACAGTGGTTCTGAGAGTTCTTCAGCCAGTTCCTTCAATATTCTTGAATGCAGTTCATCTGGCCCTGGAGATCTGAACTTGTTCAAAGTAATAAGGTATTCTTTGACTATCAGTCTCCAGCTTCAATCCTGTCCCCTCCGCTTGCACTTCACATTTCTCTGGAGGGTTATAGTCTGTCCTTTGGGGAAAGACTGAGCTAAAAAAAGGAATTGAACACTTCTGCCTTTCCTTTGCTGTTTGTTTTCATTTTTTCCATCTCCACTGAGTAGGTGGGCCACTGTTTCTTCTATTTTGCTTTGCACAAGACTTCCTAATGCCATCCTTGCAATTCCTTGCTACTTGTCTGTACTCTTTATTTGAGGCCTAGCTTTCTTTCTATGTCATATGTGAGTCCTTTTTTTGTTTTCAGGTCTTCTCTGGGCTTTTTGTGAAGCCATACTGTGTAAGGTGAAGTCAGAGTAGTAAACTGAAGTCAGAGTATGCCCATTTGAATCAACTGAACTTAAAGAAGAGTTGACTCACTAAATCCCCACTCACCCATTGGGCCTACTGCAGTGTGATTTACTATGCTTAGCAACAGAATTTTGGCCGCTGTTGCTGTTTTTCACAATTGTTTATCTGGAAAGTGATTTCAGCTTTGAATAAATAAGTGGACAATTCCATGTTATAAACTGCTCAGAAAACTGTGATTGTGATATACAGTATATTTTTAAAAAATAATCAAAGGCTTTATCTGTATGAGCACTGAATAGATATCCCCCATCAAATGGGAAAGTCTTGATCTTAGTTCCGGCATTTTCATGATTCTTGAAGAACAAATCCAAGCATACTTTCTCAGGACTACTGTAGCTTGAATTACTTTGTCTTCACAATCCACCACACAGTGAATCAAGTAAATCTGCTATGCAATTATTTTATGAGCTCCTCTTTGGAAAGGGGCTGGAACATTTTTGTGGTGACTGAGCATTGTTACTATGAATGGTTCCATCTATTACCCAACAAAATTGCTGATTTACAGCTACTGTAGTCCTCACTTCTTTCTATGATCAAAGCAGTCACTGAATAAAAATCCTTACCCATAAGATCCTCTCTACTTTGTTGACTGGAGTACAGTGAAGTTTCTCCTTTCCCACTGAATAATCTCTACAATATTGAAGTCGGACACTAGATCACTAAATCCAAAATCTGCCTCATCTTGTTGAGTACTATCTAAATTTTCTGTTCTTCCAGATTTAGATGACATTGATG